ATACTGCTCTGAAACTTTCAGGTAGGAAAGCCAGTCTCAGCTGCTGAAGAAACAGAAGTCATGTGGAGACCTGCAGTGACCCAGCGGACGGCCAGCCTGCGGACCTGCAGTGACCTTCCAGCCACTCCCCTGGCAGAATGCAGTCAAAGCAACAGAGGAATCGCATGGCCAACCCGCAGACCTGTAAGACATAATAAATCAGTTTGTTTTAATAAAGCCACTACAATGGGAGTGGTTTGTATACAGGCAAAGTAACTGGAACATCTCCTCTGAACTTCCCATTTTCTCCAGTTCATTCTGGTTTTCTGGTGTATCTAGGTGGAATAGTAACAGCTTATGCTTCTCGCATCTCCATCTCTGGAGAAAATGAGAGTATAAAAGTCTGAACCCAGATTGTTCAGTGCTTTTCAACTTTTGCTGGTTAAACCTATGCTGCTAAGTCTGCACCTTGGGCTTAGAGTTTTGACTTGTATGTGAATCATTTTGGGTCATCAGAAAGGGCCAAAGGTTAAAGATAGTGTATTGTCTTTGTCATTAAGGAACAAATCTCCCTATTTTATTTGCTTGTCATTTTATTCCAGATGAATACCCATAGGTGACTACCAAACTCGTCTGCAGTGGGAAGCAGGTTTAGGATTTTAGGACGATGAGTCCCGGTCTATTGCTTGGATCTAATGATAGCCTTGTGGTCGGATTCTCATCAACTGCCCTTTCCTGGAAAGAAGGAGCCACCCTGGCAGAATGCCTCTGCAGCTTTTTGGAAGTGATACAATCTGAAATTGGCTATAAATGCAACCATGCAAAATTAGGATCTTGATATTATTTTACATTTTTGCTCACCTTTCAGTGGTCACGATGTGTTTACAAAATGGGGATAGACCATCATGGTCAGTACTTAATGACAAATTTTGTGATTTATTTGTGTGTGTTTTTTTCTTTTCTGCCTAGAAACTGCTTCAAAACAGAACAGGCCAAGGCTTTGTAAGCATGTGCATGCCGTTTTGTTAGAGTCGACTCAGAAAAGACTGATAACGATGTGGTCTAGTGGTTTCCACATGTATTTGAGTGTCAGCAACTCTGGCTGTAATCTCATCCAACTGTCTTCTGGCCCACTCAGATTACTTAAGAAAAAATTACCTAACTTCTCTCTGTCTCATTTTCCCTATCTATAAATTGGAACAAATTGCTCTTGCTGCACAAAGAGAATTTTAAAAACTAATTGATATCTATATAAACACTCTGGAGATACAAATTATAATTATCCCAAGCACATGCACATATAGATATGCACACATTAAAAAGAAAAAAGTGTGCCTTCAATAGTTTTTTTTATTATTTTCCTTATTTTACTTTTCCCCATCACTACTTATAGCTCCTGTACCCTGTCCCACCTCCACCCCTTCTCCCTCACCCCTCCATCCCCACCTGCAGTCACCACACTGTTGTCATCAATATTTTTCCTTCATTCAAAACTTCAGGGGAAAATTAAGATGGGAGCAGGGAAAGGGATGATTTTTCTTTTCCCATTTCAAAGGCATCTATCTCACTCCCCGTTCCACAGCATGGAGAGAGATGTGCTGTGAGCTGCTGTGCTGGGCGGTGATTCAAATTCCCCAGGTTGGTGGCAGCATCTCAAGAGACATTTCTCAGAGCTTTTCAAAGCCCCGTTTTCTTTTAATTAGCTCGCTCACTGCCTCAGGCACCCAGTTCGGGGAATCAATAGGGGAGAGGGAGTACAGACTTTGTAGGTATCAGGAGCTGTGCTCTGTTGGGACTTGTCAGACCCTGGATTTGGGTTTCAGGAGGGAAGCATCACTGGTCCAAGAATATTTGGAGAGGAGATTTCAAACAGCAGCAGCCCGCCAGTTTCTGGAGACTATCAGACAATGATTCCCAGCCACAGGTTGGACCTGCTCAAGTCACCAAAGCTCCAGGGCATGCCCTCAAGGCTTACAGACATCACCAGACCCTGATTAGAAGTTAATATCTAGCTGGAGAGCAGCTAGAAGCATGGGTACTGCCGAGGTGTGAAAACACTCCTGGAGAGTCAACTCCACACACCACCTGTGGCCCCATTCTTATTATTTCTTCAGTCTTTAGAAGGCCTTCTCTGTACCCTGAACTTATTGTGACTAGCACTGGCTAAATTCTTACTTTTTGAGACATATTTTTTATTTGTGTCATTATTATTCTTTATCTAAACTAATAAAAGGGTAATATGCTAATTAGATCGGATGTCTCTCCAGATGTCTTTCCAACAAAGACACAGTGGCAGGAGCTAAGGCAGAGGCGTTAGGGGCAATCAGGCAGGCAGGGCAGAGCAGTTAGGGGTGATGAGGCCAGCAGCAGAGAGCAGTTAGGGGCCATCAGTCTGGCAAGGGAGAGCAGTTAGGGGCAATTAGGCCAGTGGGGAAACAGGGGCATCAGGCAGGCAGACAGAGTGGTTAGGTATGATCAGGCAGGCAGGCAGTTGAGAGGTTAGGAGCCAGCAGTCCTGGATTGTGAGAGGGATGTCTGACTTCTGTTTTAGGCCCTATCCCTGCAGTTCTAAACCGGCAGTCAGACATCCCCTGAATGGTCCCAAATTGGAGAGGGTGTAGGCTGGGCTGAGAGACAACCCCCACCCCCATGCACAAATTTCATGCAGAGAGCCTCTAGTTTATTATAAACATGAACGGCACAGAGCCTGACAGCTCTGCTAATTGAGACGCCATGGATTTGCTTCCAGAGTTCAAACCTCCAGTCGACAATTCCTGCTGCTTGAGTGTTGCCGTTGTTCTGGCCCAAACTGTACAAGGGCACAACATTTGGGATATGTTGTGAGCATGCATTATTTATGCTGGGAATAGAACACCAAAATCCTTTTTTAGAAAGCCAGATTAAAAGACATGGAAAAAAAGAAAAGAGACAAAGTTTTAGTAACGAGTCAGTCAGTGGCCAGTCTTCAGTGACAGTGAATCCGAGCAGGCCTGTTCTCTACGGAGGCGTCAGGCACTGTGGCCCTGCATGTTTGTCTTAAAGGACCATAGCATACAGTATTTGACAGGTTGGGCAATATTGGCAAACATTTAATTGTTTTTTTTTAAATTGCTTAAAATATTTTGATATATAGTTTATATATATAAATATTTTTATATATAAAATATTTTGATATATAATAGTTTGTAATACCTCTAAATTTCATGCAATGGTTTTAATTTTTAATCTAAAAAGTACACTGGATAGACACTTGAATATCCAAAATGTGTGGAAACAGAGAAAGTAGTATATTAGTTTTGTTCCCCTGTTTGTATGTTTTTTTTACTTTCAGATTAACACCTGAACCCATTGCTTTGAGTTTCAAAATACTTCAGCTGAAAATGTGTCCAGTGGTTGAAGAAAAACACACTAAACCGATTATTTGAAAACTAGAGGCACGAAATCCGTGCACTGAGGGGGTCCCTCAGCCAGGTCTGTGCCCGTTAGCAGTCCGGGAGCCCTGGGGGATGTCTGATTGATGGCTTAGCACTGCCATGGAGGTGGGGGAAGCTCCAGCCACCGCCACTGCACTTGCCAGCTGTCAGCACGGCTTGTGGCTGAGCAGTGCTCCCCCTGTGAGAGTGCACTGACCACCAGGGAGAAGCTCCTGAACTGAGTGTCTGGCCCCTAGTGGTCAGTGCACGTCATAGTGACTGGTCATTCTGCCGTTTGGACAATTTGCATATTACCCTTTTATTATATGGGATCTGCCAACACACATTTAATGATGATTGCAAACATTTGTGGATGCCCTGCTCAATGATGAAAGATCCAACAATGCTCATGATAAAAATCAAAAGAAAGGGCTTACCTAGAGCTAACTAATTATTTTAACAAAAGTGGAGAAGAGGGAGAGTATGTAGAGAGAAACGAAGGTATGGTTGTAGAAAAGTAAGATGGTAATCAAGAAAGTTAAAAATTACTGTATGGAGCTTGAGAAATAAATATGAGGACAGGATATATAGGGCTATATTGGGTCAAGGGCATTTTCTATGCCTCCAGGGGCTGAGATAAATCATCCCTCAAGGCTGACCATTTCCCTTTGCTTTAAGTTCTGGCTTTTGGAGAAATCTTCAGGACTGCTAATTCCTGCTTTCCAGATATCTCCAGCATGGGAAAGGGTCAGCTTTGGTTCCATTTTAAGCCTAAAACACAAAATAATCTCTCAGTCCTATTCTACTTTCAACTTTCCTTTTCAGATCTTAAAGCAGGGGGCCACGAATTGTGGTGCAGAGATCAAAATAATAAACACATCAATTCTTCTACCCTCCATCTTCACCTCAACCACAGACTGGGGCATGTCTTAAGCTTTGGGGAAGGGAGAGAATAAGAGGGCTGTGCCCAGGTTTAGGTTTAGGGCAAGTTAACTCCACCATCAACCTCTTCTCTGACCATTCCTGCTCACCCAGCGGATCCTGCTGAGCCCTAAACAGCCTTTTGATAGGTGGAGCATAAAAACCCAAGTCAGGTCTGACCTGAGGTCTCTGTAATGGTAGAGAGATACCAGCCAAAGGCCTCACTTGTCTAACTGAAAGGTGTCTTACCATCCACTTCCTAATAGCAAACCTGAAGGATTCATTAACCATGATTAGAAATCCTCTGACCCTTTACTTTTGAACTATGATTACTTTTCTTTACATTTATCCAACAAATCTCTCCACTTTTCTTACTCCTCCCCATCCCAAAAGATAATCAAAGCAATGAGGTGTACCCATTCAGATGATAAGCGCTTGTTAAAATCGCTTTATCCTATAATATGCAGATATGAATCAAGCAGACACATCAATGTAAGTGACAAACTAATCACAATTCATTATGACGAATATTAGATATCATTTTATTGTGGGATTAGTTTATAGCATCACTCTGCAGTATCCTCTTGAGTACAAAAAAAAAAAGAGAGTTTCTGAATCTGCAAAATTGAGGATTGGATTCTATAATGTGATACGCTCACATACGGTCATACACTTATTTCTTTAAATTCTGTCTAAATCTATATGATGGCTTGTCTCACAGAGGAGAGAGCACGAGAATAGGTTAGACTGCGTGTGGCCATAGCAAGCTCCAATTGTGTCGGACCACTTTGATCACCTGCCACCGAGTGCGGCTCGCAAAGGCATTTTCCCATTTTAAAAAATCTTGCTGTCTCAAATTCTGGTTTTGCTTGTCCAGATTTTGTCTTTACAATGTCCTATATCTATGAGCACATGCAGAATTAGATTTGAACCAAACCCTAAAAAGGAGAGAAGCACCACTCAAATTCCATTGTTTTAAGGTCTTTTAAGAACTTAAAATTTGTCAGTAATCAATACAGTTAGAGGGAGACCTTGATGTATAATAACATCTAGGACTAGTAGTTTGTATCTTTTTTTTCTGACCACATTTCTTCCTTATTTACTTCATTCCCCTTTTAATTGGTGGGTAAACTGGACAGCCTTTAGAAAGGTCCTAATAGCAGCGTCAAGGGCCAAGGACTGAGCAAGCTTGTCTACATCCCCTCTGTGTCTCAACAAGGGCTGTGCCAAACGTCTAACTTTAGGGTTTGGCTAAACGCCAAACACCTGGAAATGGCACTCAGCCAGACAGGCACACAAAGCTGAGCGGTGGGTGAGCAAACACATCTGTCTCCTCATTTTTCCCTGCTCAGCTATTAGGTAAATAAGGTGGCTATTAGGTAAATAAGGTGGCTATTAAATGATGACTTGTGAGAAGCCTACAATTTGAGAGTTCGTATTTCATCTTACCCGCATTTATCAGGCTCCTCAGTAAGCAACATTCTGACAGGCTTTGATAGGAACACCAGTTTGGCTTCTACTAAATACTATCTTTGAGGATAGAGTTCAACCTGTTTTCCTCTGAGACCAGAATGTACACATGAATGTGTCTGGTGTCCAAATTTTTTGGCATGGAAAATTCAAAACTGATACTTTTTCTTTTTGTTGTTGTTGTCTCTTAAAATATTTTTATTAAAGCTATATATATGTTATGTTTTAAATATATATATATATTTTAATATATTTTGTTGTTGATAGTATTACAGATATCGCCCATTTCTTCTTCCTCCCCCCACCTCCTCCCAGCCCCTCAGTATCCCCCTTTCTAGTTGTCACAACCCTGCTGCCCATGTCCATGGGCTGAAGTGATAGGCCCTCAATTGCTGGTTTCGACAGGAGCACGTTTCGAGGCCCCTCCACACATGTCTGTGTCCGAGCACTCAGGACTCCTGACTCCATTTCTTCACCCACAGAAACCACATTTCCTTTCATTCCTCACTTCACCAATCCGCAAACCCCCTAACCACCCCTGAAATATGGAGATATTTCCCGACATCTCCACAAATATAACAGAAAGCTTTCGTGGTCTCATGCAACCCCACTTATAACCATATGCACGCCTCGTGTGACCAACGAAATCACTCATCTCCCTAGTATGTCCAATTCAGGAGTGTTTGCAATAGACCATGGTACACGGGACTTGAAGGCTTAAATTCTGATGCTATGGATGTCAGGGGAAGCGGGCACATGTACAAAATCAGTGAAAGCAATGCCAGAATTGAATGCTTTGTCTTTTCAAATAGACATCTTGTTCACTTTTTTTTTTTTTAAGATAAATTTTTGCTTGTTTTCTGGAAGAAAATTGTTATTTTCCTTTCGTCTCAGAAGAGCTCGACGTAAATATGTTTTAAAACAAAATACCATAACATAATTGTGAGCTCATAAATCGTATATATTCCTAATGAACCCAACATAAGTGCATGAAGTAGCAATAAGTAGTTTTATCCTTGGTTATTATTAATGAAAACCTTTAAAATGCTTTGGCATACAAGATCAGTACCGCCTGTGCATCTCCTTGTGTTCCCTAGGTCATCCATCCCATGTCAGGCAGCCAAATGACCACCTAGCCTGCGAGGACTCTGGTCAGCACCCCGTAGGTGCCACCGGACAGCCCTCTGCCCCAGAAACCCACGTCTTACTTCCCACTCTGTTGATACTTCAAGCTGAGGTCGGGAAGGGCACCTGCTCTCCACTCACACACGTGTGACCCACCGTGTGGGGGAGCTAACACCCTGTGCTAGCTTCCTGTGGCAGCCATAACACATGACCATAGTCTGAGTAGCTTAAACAATATTCATGGATATCCACAGCTCTAGATGCCAGAGGTGTCAAGCTCTAGGTGACCTCGGGTTTGGTTTCTTCTGAGGCCCCTCTGCTTGGCCTGCAAGTAGTTTTTTCTTGCTGTGGCCTCACATGGTCTTTCCTCTGTGTGCACGCACCCCTGGTGTCCTTCTGTCTGTCTGGATTTCCTCCTCGTATAAGGGCACAGTCAGGTTGAATTAGGGCTCACCCCCAAGTGAGCCTCGTCTTAACTGAATCACATTCTAAAGCCCTATCTCCAAACACAGTGTGATGTTCAGCAATATTGGGATTAGTCCTTCAACATGTTGATTTGGGGAGAGCCCAGGAGTGACCAATGGGGGAAGGAGAGTGATGAATACATTCTTATTTCTTTCTTCCCCTACCAGTGTTTCCCAAACTTTTGACATATGTTTACCCCTTCTATAATTTTCGTAACGCTGAGTACCCCTCGTACTCATGAGAATGTAGAATTAGGCGCAGCTAAGCACGGTGCAGTGCATATCCCCATCAAACTCTTCCCGTACCCCTGGGGGTACGCGTACCACACTTTGGGAAACACTGCTAGACCGATAGTCCTGAATCACATTTAATGGTAAGGCTATATTTTGTGATATGAAAGGTAGGCACTTATACCAATGGACTGCTGGCATGTTGTGTTGACTTTCTCTCTTTCTTAGTCTGGATTCCATGTCCCTCACTCCTTCTATTTCCAGGATCACATAAGCCAACAAAAGACTTGCTTCCTTGAGAACCCAGGATGAAACATTTAACCTCTCTCTTGTCATCTCTACAACAACCATGCCTGATACGTCTTTTTATTTTTACTTCACAGAAAAAGAACCAGAGAAGATAAATGACTTGCCCAGAGTCACACAGCTAGCAAGCTAGAAAGTCAGACCTCTACTTTCAATCTTCCGACACCCAATCCTGCATTATTTCTCAAGTACTATAACATGTTCTAGCAATTCTATATGCATAATCTGATAAAATTTAATTTCCATTTCCCGTACCCGTTTTTAAAATAATTTAAATAGACTACAGATAAGACACCCCAAGTATATAATTTATCTCCCTATTGTTTAAATTCTGTTCCTTTCCTCTCTCCCCAAGTCTAAGAGTTTGGTATTCCTTTTTCCCCCCCAAAGATCACCTATATCTAAAATTATTATTTCTTTAATAGAACTTATATAAATTACAATGTCTTTATTGGCACTATCCCAAACTATGACTTTCCAAGCAAACTGCATGGCACAGTCTAATTACGAGGCTCATATCTTAATGAAAGCTTAACAGTTTATTCGTTCATTAAACATAAGAGTAATGTAATGTCCGACTATGCAATCATTATTGTTTCCTGAAAATATGATGAGATGAGGTACAATAAATGCAAACTGAAATATTGCCTGTAGAAGGTTATTTATTATTTCTTCCAGCTAAAAACATTCATAACAGAAATTTATTGGTCCATACTCCCTTCATTATAAATATTTTATGTTCTGCCTCAGGGATCTATGTCTTAGCCTTTAAATGTCTCAATCTTGTGTTAGTAACAGGAAGAACAAGTTCACCGGGTGAAATTTTTGCCCTTTACCTCAGCATGTTATAATAATAATAGGCTATAAATATGTTATAATTATGCCTTTGATCACTGCTGTAGTTTTCTATTCAGAATGAATTAAATTCGAAATTAAAGCTGAGCTGGTAGACAAAAACGACGGTACTGACCTTAAGCTAAAATTTGCTGAAATCCATATAAATATAGGGAAAATACTTAAGAGTGGCAAGGATAATACTATATACCATTTTTCCTCTTCTACATTAATGTGAAGTAGCATCTATACCTATCACTATCTTTGCATTGCTTTGCATCTAAGTAAAGCTTTATATTCTTACTGCTTTTTAAAAATATACATATTTCCTTGATGTCAGAGAGGAAGAGAGAGAGAGAGAGAGGTAGGAACATCAGGGATGAGAGAGAAGTCTTGACTAGCTGCCTCTTGCATTGCTCTATAAGAGACGGAACGCGCACGTGGGCGTGTGCCCTGACCTGGAATCAAACCATGACCTCCTGGTTCATAGGTTGACGTTCAACCACTGATCCATGCTGACTGGGCTATTTTCTTACTACTTTTACATCCTAATCACTACAACAATCTTTGAAGCAAATGAGAAACTGAGGCTCAGATAGCCACAGATGTATAATTTTTGTTTTAATTTGAAAAGCTTTCATCATGAGACACTGTAAAATCACACAACAATAAAAAAATAGCAGGTCATCTAATTAAGTCTGGGATTGGTAAATGCCACTGCAAGATAGCATTCCTCCATTTGAAAGTGAAGAGAGTCAATTACTATTTTATGATATGAGCATATCCATTATTTAAAACAAAAAAACTAAATGCGGACTTTTTGTGAAACACCGGAGGGAGTAAATAATTTTTTTTTTTTTAAATATCAACTCAAAAATAAATTAAATATTTACTTAGGAGAAAAAAAGGTAGACTTGGTTTTTATGCCAGGAAATACTGAGTCAATTCCAGGAGATACTGAGATGACTCCAGGAGTTCACATAAATGTAATTCTAGCTGTGCAATTGCAAATGAAGCCACAGAGGAAGAAAAGGACCAGATAGTATACAGAAATCAATGTGGTTACAGAGATCGGCTTTTTAAAGGACATACACATATATAATATAAACCCAAACATGTGTGGCCCTTCTCATGGTTGGTCTGAGCATAAAGCTGTATGCAACACAGCCACCTCCAAGAAAGCAAGGCAAAGTGATTCAGGGCTTCACAGAAGTCTCTTTTTAAAAAAAATATATATATTATTGATTTTTTTATAAAGAGGGAGAGAGATAGAGAGCTAGAAACATCGATGAGAGAGAAACATCGACCAGCTGCCTCTTGCACACCCCCCACCGGGGATATGCCCGCAACCAAGGTACAGGCCCTTGACCGGAATCGAACCCGGG